CTCCATATTCATCCTTCAGCAAATTGGCCTGGTTTTATTCAAGTCGCTGTTTAATCCTGGGTCCTGAGTTCCTTCATATAATCCTTAAACCCTAAATCCTAAACCCTAAACCGCAGTTTAGGGTTTAGGGTTTATTATAAGTATTGTGATAAAGAGTCCCCAGGATTTTCGGACTAAAGGTACTTCTGAATTCTCCGTTCGGACAGGCCCCTCGCGCAGAGGAAACTAATCCAATAAGCTCGCATAGAGAAATCACGAGGACAAATAGACCTGTTGGAGAGAAGTCATGGTCCAGGAGAGGAAAGTTGCTTTTCATGGTTTGTTCATCGAAAAGCTGGTTTCGCTTGCTCAAGACAATCTTTTTTCCTAGGGTAAAAATGTTTTTGTTTAGTTTCCTCAAGCAAACTTCATGAAACAGCAATGATGTCCTAAGGAAAAAATTGCTGTTTCGTTGATTTTTGATCCAGCGAAAACAATAAAAACCCAGTAGTGGCTGTGAGGACCATGAATTCTCTCCAAAATGTTGTTTTTTTGTTTTAATGATTTTCTATCCTGGGTTGAGTCTAGTCGCTACAAACTTTAATTAGCGCGTATAAGAGAGGGTTTTGAGCGAAGACCGTATGTGACCCCTGAGCCGTCTATCCTGGAATATCCAAAAGCTGAGGATCTTTTTTGAGAGCAAATAGGATCCAGATTCTGGGGTTGCTTCGGGATATAGAGGGGTATGTGAACTTGTGGAAACAGCAACTTCGCGGGTATTCACAGTACTTTTGAGGCGGGGTTTTAAAGCTTAAGACCCAAGGTGTGGATCATGGGAGGGTGCTACCGAATATTACTAGTAACACTACAAACTAAAAAGTAAGATTAGGGTTTAGGGTTTAGGGTAAGAATACATAATAAGGGATTGTAATACCATCCCCCACAAAGGTAACCCCCTCCCCTGAGTTTAAGGAGCCAATAAGGACCATATAGGGCTTAATCAAGCCTAATAGGGCTTCAAATCTGGGAGGGAGGGTACCTTTGGGGGATGTACTATTGCAACCCCTAACATACAACCTCTACTGATACTGCTAGTGTCCATGTCATGACCCATGTAGTTTTTGATTTGATGTTGCACTCCCGGCCGACACTATACCTATGTATCCCTACAGTCTCCCTATATGAGCTATAGTCTAAACTCCTAGTATCCCCCTTAATAACCCCTCTAGTAGTCCCCTATATAACCCCCTTTAAGGAGTTTAGACTATGGCTCATATCACCCCACGACAGCCGAGCGACGGGTGCAGCTCCATCTTCCTGTCATTGAATTTCTCGTCGGTCTTCGGTGTCGTGTCCTGATGGGAATCATCATGCACTCTCGCGGTTTAGGGTTTAGGGTTTAGGGTTTTGGGTTTAGGGTTGGAAAAAACACGGTCTAGGGATTTAAGTTACCACAGCATGGGCATATAGCAAATGATAGCATTTCCTTATTGCAGTAACTTAATTCAAGTACAGTGGCTCATGGGTTTTTTAAAGGCATCCATTCCAGACTGAGTTGAGTCCTTGAAGGGGATGCCGCCAACAATGAATGTCAGCCTCACAGATTGCAAGAATGGGAAGTGCCGGGAGCTACAATACCACTATAATTACTGTTGCTATTATTACTATTACTAGTATTCTTACTGTTGCTACTGTTATTACTGTTATTTGAATATTTGTAATGTTACTAAACCCCAAACCCTAAACCTCTTATTACTCTGATTATTATGATTTCTGATAAGCATCAGGCCTGATGGGCTCACCAAGGCCGGTGATGGGCCAGTAGAAGAGCTCATACTCCTGGGCATGATGTTAAGGAACTCTGTAAATAATGGGGTTTCCAGATAATAGGGTTTCCTGATTATGATAACTTAATTCAACTTCCACCCTAAACCCTAAACCCTAAACCCTGAACGATTAACAGCAACCCAGACTCCGGCATGATGTTGTTTGCACGAAGGGTTGCTTCCAGACTTCTCCAAACGCTTGAGCCAAATGCTGCCGGGCAGTCCAGCTGCCACTTGAGCCATAGAGGGGTTATATAAGGTTATATATGGGGTTATATAGGGATAATGGAAAATGAAAAGGAAACTAGTATATAGTACTATAATAGTAAATGTAGGGGATACATCCGGGTTGTATGAGCTATAGTCTAAACTCCTAGTAGTATACCCCTTTATAACCCCAATGCTAATCCCCTCTATGATCCCCTGTACAACCCCCCTCTTAGGAGTTTAGACTATGGCTCACTTAAAAGGACTCACAATCGTTCCAAGGGCGTTTAGTGGGTTAGTCTTGCAACACGACAATCATGTTTTGTAGCTTTGGACTCTAGACGTTCAAATGCTTCTGGCGATCACAGTTTGCAACGCCCAGTCGTGCCTGTTGACTGTCTAGCAGAGGCTGGCGTCTGCACGCCTGCCAGCAGTGATTGAGAACCCACATCCCAAATAATCAGATTTTCAGGTAGCGCTTCCAACACTGCTTCCCAGCCTCTGTGTGAGACAGCACGCTGCTTTGGCTTGGCACAGGCCTTTGCTCCTCAAGCTTATAGTCCCACTTAAGTAGATAGAATCTGGGGTCTAGGGGGATCTTATTAAACCCTAAATAGTAGTTTCCATTTTCTTTTCCATTAACCCAACATAACCCCTATATTCTATCTACTTAAGGGGGACTTTACTACCGGGCTCCCGTGAAGTGCTGCGAAATCGGCCCAGGGTCCTCCTTGCTTCAGGGCGAGGCCCAAGCCTCAGCATGCGTCTATTCTTTCTAATCGTACTATGACTACGATTAGTACGATTATTACTATTATGAGTATTATTAATATTATTAGTATTATTCATGATACTATTATCACTACTATTAATACTATTATTATTGCTAGTATGAATATTTTCTAATAGTACTATGATTACTACTATTACTATCATTACTATTCATTCCAGCAAAAGATTCTGCTCAGCCTGCTTCACCGAGCATGGGATGCCCTTCGCTCAGGAGGCCACTGGAGAGGAGCTGGCGCCGCTCGAAGTCCAGAGCTCGGGAACTTGCCTCTTGCTCCTCCCAACCTCGCATGCACCATGTATATGGGGGTTAGGGTTTAGGGTTTAGGGTTTAGGGTGGTTGTCAAAATTATGGTAAATTTTTGGATCCCTATTATAATACGGCAGCTAATATTTAGGGAAACGAAAATGGAAACTACTATGTTGTATATGGGGTTCTGTAGGGATAATGGAGAAGAAAATGGAAACTATTATGTAGTATATGCCGTTATGTAGGGATAATGGAGAGGAAAATGGAAACTACTATGTAGTATTGGGGTTATGTGGGGATAATGGAAAAGAAAATGGAAACTACTACGTAGTGTATTGGGATTGTGTAGGGATACTGGAAACAACTACATAGTACATTGGGGTTATGTAGGGATAATGGAAAAGAAAGTGGAAACTACTATATGAGCTATAGTCTAAACAGCCAGTATCCCCTGAGTGACACATAGAATACTTCCCTACATGATCCCCCCTCGAGGAGTTTAGACCATAGCTCGTATAGTATATAGTAGATCTTGTTCATATTATAGTACCCTAAACCCTAAACCCTAGACCCTAAACCCCAAACCCTAAACCCTAAACCCTAAACTCTAAACCCTTAATCCCATAGGCCCGCTCCAGTCGGTAAGGCAATGGCTTTGCGTGTACTGGTCCACGAGGAGCTTCGCGGTGGCGAAACGTTCTGCTAGCTCACGCCTGACCCGAGCTTTGTGGATCTCCTAACTCATGGGTTAGGGTTTCGGGTTATATTGGGGTTATATACGGTATATATAAGGTTTATATGGGGATAATGGAAAATATAATGGAAACTACTATACAATATATTGGGGTTCTATTGGGATAATGGAAAAGAAAATGGAAACTACCATTTTAGGGTTTAGGGTTTAGGCTATAGTGCCCCTTAAGTAGA